AAAACCATTATTTTAATCGTAAGGGTGGTTTTTTTTTAAAACCATTTCTAAAAAACAGTAAACAATTTAAATTCATTTCTGAGGCAATGTTGTCCCCTTAAGGTCTTAAAAAAGGTAACAGTGTGATTATCAATTTATTTAAAAGTAAAAGGAATCACTGTTGTTTTTTTCTTAAATTTCATTTCTATACATGTTTTTCTTATAATTACAGACAAAGTAACTATTAATGCGAACAAACAGCCAAATTGGAATAAATAATATCACACTAACCTTACGCCATTTTCGAGGAAAGGATCTTCAGGAAGACCTTGTTTCTCAGCCATCATCCTGTCTTCTGAAATAAGATAAACAATTATTTAACGACAAATTTGTTTTGATGACATAGGAAATCTCAATCCATCAAACGGTATTTTACCATTTACCTAAAGTGACAGCATTCACCGGAACGAAATTTTGGCAGGAGACAAATGGTTAAAACTCAAATCTATATATTGCAGGAATTATTACAGCACAATAAACCACTTAAATACCTATTTACAAACCCTGTATCAGGTACATATGTCCTATATTAAAGCAGCGTATCATATAATAATGATCATATACATGTATTCTGTTCTGGTATAAACATAAATTGAATCATTTCGTCTATTTATCTATTTTTTATGATAACCACAATATTATCAATGCGTTAACATGCACATATCGTGAGTTTATTTCAACAATATCACAGCCAGTCCGCAACTATTTAATGAGTTAACGCATTGTTGCATTATAATTAACACGTTCATATGCATTGATCTAGTTTAAGCTGCCTAAATAGTTTGTTCTAAAATGATTAAAAGAACAACAAACAACAAATGTTTTGTATGTGAGATTGAATATGATACCAACTTGACCGCTTTATACGCTGTAGATGAATCTATGTCATAATATTTTTTTTTTAATATTCGTTTAAATGGCACATGATCCTTTTAAATGACAACAATACTCCCATTAATACGCAATAATCTGATAATGAATTATAATCTGGTGTTCAACAAATTGCCATGTGATACATTTCAGACTGATGCCCTGACAACAATATAATTTAATTTATGTTGAAGGTGGTAAATTGTCTGGTGCGGACGGGGAGAGTTTATCCGATAGCGGTAAAACGATAAAGAAATGATTTAGATTATAAATAAATATTTTTTCCCTATTTCGCAGTATTTAACCCTTACTTACTGGAAACAAAAAATATTAGCTTTTGGCAAATCTCTTTACCTCTACATTGAGTTCTGCTGGTCGGTGCTGGGGGGATGTGAGTAATATGGATACACTTTAACAGATTTTGCGATCTTGATATAATTAATAAAATATAAAACGTTATGTTTTATGCTCTCAAGAGATTTTCAAATTGTAGAATTTCTAACGAATGATTCAATTATAGTTCACAATTAAGTGATCTGCTCACTGATCAAAGATTTTTATTTTTTGCACGAAGAGCATATCAAGTATTATATATTTATTTGATCAATATTTGAGTTGCAACAATGATTGGATATTTCATATAAAAGTATGAGAAAAAAAATCAAGTTTCACAATTCGAAATTTATTGATTTAAAAAAACCTGTTATTTCCCAGTAATTCCTACAAGAAGTAAAGCTAAAATGCATATCTAAAGATTGCAAAACACTATTTTTTAAGCATGTACTACAAATTCGAGGTGATTGACGGAAGTGTTAAATGCAAGCTACCCGTTCGCCATATAGACCCACCTAAGCAGAAAAACCCAAAAATTCAGTATGGGAAAAGGGGTTTCACATTTAAAATTTTGATCTAAGTTTCTTTGAAAAGTTTCCCTTTGTATAACACTAGGGTTTGCGTTATTAAAACCCCTAAAATATCAATTTTAAAAATATGGTAAAGGGGTCATTTGTTTTTTCCCCGAATGTCTGTACGGAATTTCAAATTCCTACTAACATAATTTAAAAAGGATGATTTAAAATAGAAGTGATAAAAGAAAATTTAAATTTTCAATATAATTTTCAAAAACAAATATCATGAACAATTTTTAAAAGGGGAATTTTATTTTGGGAACGTACTTAATTATTTCCCCTCAGTTAAATAAATTAATATCTAGATACGATAGTTTTGCGAAGATTTTTCGCTATATTTCACATGTTGCGCAAAAGATGTTTTAAGACGTATGATCTAGAACAACTAGGACTTAAGCCATACGGAAGTAAGCCATACAATCAAGCACTATTACAATTAAATAATGCATATATGTTCAACGAAAGTATTGAACCTTTTAACAATTAAATATTTGGTGAAATATTTTTGTACCTATGATAAGTTTAAAGAAAAATATGTAATACTTTTTATAAACCCTCTTGAAATACATAATGATCTAATATTAATGAAATGAAAAAATATGTGATATATTTGAAAAAGAACTACATGTATGACATGTACTGGTACAAATATGTTACACAATTCTACATTTTTATATAATATCAACAAGATAACGTGAAAATAACATTGAATTCTATTTTTGTGCAGAACATACGTAATATAATTGATATCCCAGCCTTTATAAAAGAACATAAACAACACAATTTTTCAATATTTGAATCCAATATATAACAGTATGCTAAATAATTTAACGTATCTGTTTCAAACAGTTATCTAAATATATGAAAAAAAAACCCAAAACAATACAGTTATAACAAGAAAAAATATCAGTTATATAACAAATGCACTTACCATTTATTGTATATTAATGTCGAAGATAGTAGTTCAACAATCATAACATAAGAACTCTGTTTTTCATATCACATACCTTTATACAACAAGAGCAATATATTCCACTAGAAATATACCACAAACATATCATACACTGTTATGTTAGATAACGTAACGAATAAAACGAAGTAACTGATGGCATTAAAATACACGTCTTATCATTTACATGTCCTGTCATAATATAACAAGATTCTCGTGCTAATAACCGAGAAAACGTACGAGAAAACGAGGCAATGAGAAGTATAGTTTTAGTCGGATACCTTTGTAAATAATGCACTGTAAAATGAGGTAATGAGAGTAATTGTAATCAATTAACAATTGTTGTTTCACGTGCTTCGTGAGATGTTTCGTTGTAGATGATTTTTATCACGCTATTCATAATTGGCATGTAGTTTAATTATGTATGATTTTACATGTGTTCTAGTTTAATACCTTTGTTTCAAACTTGCATTTGTTTTCATTCGGAGAAAAAAGCCCCATGTGTTCACATTTCCCTCTTTGTATTTTGTTTTTGAAAATGTATAAATTGCAAGAACAGAAATAAAATATTTATATTTGATCTTTATCAGCTGCAAATGAAATCATCTATACAACAAAATACCAACAGTGGATTTATCTTGTAATATACAAAAGGAGAAGTATCTTTCAAAAAAGACACTCAGTAACCCTAGTTTTTTATCCCACATTTATTCAGTTCTTCACCCTTTATATCACCGGAAATCAAGAGTGAAAATGAGAGTCATTGGCCGAAAAAAGAAACCTGATAACAACATCATTTCAGATGTTCAATAAAAGCACGATTCGGTATTAGCCACATTCAAAACATTTTTCTTGTTTCAATTCATTAATGGTCATTTATAATGTAATTATCCAATATAAACGAATATAAAACTATTTTGACTTGAATGTTTTCAGTAGAAATAATCATACAAAAGTACATATTAGTAAACTAAAATTATGATGTTTGTTAATTTCCAATAAAGCGTATGGCACATGCGCGAAATTATAAACCAACAAAAATATCAACTGAATATTTTGCTGGGAATCTGTTTCTTTCTGTTTTGTAACATAATTAACACGCATTAAATAACAGAGACATTTTTGTTTTAATTTTCTAGTAATTTCCATTGGAATGTGAAAAAACACGACTGCACAATTTTTGAATTTCAAAATAACTGCCACACAATCCAAAACACCCGAAATATCTTCTTGACGTAACATGACGTAGCATTTTCCGTCCTGTTCCTTGTAGGCAACCTGTTACTGTTTACGTCAGAAATGGGATTTATTTTAAGATCTAAAGTATATTATATATTATATGAGATTTAATATTGTTTTATGTGACCATGATAAGGTAGCTACACGTATGTCTAATCTTGGTCTGAGATATCAGAATCATCTTTAACTGGCTCAAGTCTTACACTGTCTGTGACAGGTTGTGAAAATTTATGATCTCCAATTATCACTCTCTTTTTCTTTGCACACATTTCTTAACCATATTAATAATAGTCATTTAATTCTAAGTTACAACAAACTGTTCTGTATTTAAGAAAGTTTCACCCTTTGCATGTGCCGATTGTTTAAATGGTCTGCAAGTGAGCATTTTTATATCTCTCTCCTTGTTTGTCTGTTGGACAGATACTAGTTTATCAATTGATTTTTTATGATAGTAATTTTCAGTTTGCCCTTTTCCTTGCGGGAAACGTGAAATTCTGTCTGTCCGTCTGTCTCTCAAGATTAATTGTCTCTTCAAGAGTGTTTAATTTTCATAGCAAAATTTTCATAGCAAAATTTTCAGCTTATTGATTCAGGTACATTTGTACCTGCAAAACAGATCATCTGCTCTTTTTGCCATCACATTGTCTAGACTTCATTTATGCGTGTGTCCTAATATTGGAATTTCTGAGCTTTATAAAGTGAATAGCATGGTTGAGAACATTAGATAATGTCGTCTGTAAAATAGGTACAGATAAGGACGTGTAACTTGGACTGATGGACGTTATGAAAGTACATTTTAACAGCTTTCTTATCAAATGCATTTTAGGCTACAGCGTTTAGTTTACGGACATTTTTTCCCTCTTCGTGTTCAATTCCGACGGTTCTGATCCATTTTCTTAAATGTCGAATGATTTATTTTTATTATTATTAAAGATCAATTCAGCCTAAAAACTTGTTTCTCAGAAATGTTTATTTTTGATGTTTTCCAAAAAGGTACACAGTGGCCGTAATGATGAATCCTTTGTTTTATTTGAGGCTTTTCCTCTTTGGCAACTGACATAATAATAGAGATATTGTATTTTGTATGGACTTTAAAATACCACTTTGGTTTCATTTTACCATCTTTATGACAAATAATTACATGTGCAGCGCTCCTTTCGCCACGTGATTTACATTACCATCTAACATGTTTAAAATTCAATAAAAAATATTATTGAACATATGTTTGCTCTTTCTAAAGAAGTAAAGATAAAATATTTATTTCTGAGGCTTAATGGGCCTTCAACAGTTTCTGTCTAATTTAAGTTTCATTTGCTTTCCTTGCACAAA